CATTTAACTGAGTTCATATATGACAGGTGTCCTGCATACTGCTAGGATCAACACTATCAAAGTCATCGTGAGTAGTGATAAGTTAATAAAGATGGTGAACTTATCAGGGTAAGTAGATTTTATTCACAAAATATAAGAATAATTGGCTTTTCAAGCAAAGCCGTTGCATTCCCATACAAACCTTTATAAATTCAAACTGTTGTAACACAACACCTCCATATGCTGCAAGGCGAGAGTCATGTTTCGCGTGGTCAAATTCGATCGTTATGTAATAGTACATGCCATATGTCATGTTAGCCTGAACGTTCACATAAAAAGGAAAAAAACAGGATAACATTGAGAGCTTGGGCCGCCTGTGTCCCACGTGGGTCACATTTGCCCTTAAAGAATGCCCAATAACAGGATAAAATACAGTTGTCTCATATTTGGTCACTTTTGCAGAGGTACATGTGACCCATAGTTTCCGCATGTACCTATATACAGTTTCGCACGGTTCATTTAATCAAATATGCAGTTAGGTAACAGGTAACATGTTTCAAATCTAACCCGGGTCACGCATGACACGAGTGCTTTGAGAGAAGAGAGACACATCAGAGTGTCTAAAAGATATCCGAAGTCTTCCTGCACAGTTATCAAGATGTTTTCAAGAATCGTTCACTAGCGCATGTATCCGCTACCAAACTAAGAAGGATTTATATAAGTTTATGACCAAAGGGAGATTATGTAAGTTCGTGAGAGTAGAAATACCTGTCCTGGTTCATATTTTCCGCCTGTTTTTGGGTCTTGAAAACGTCCAATTTCTGACAACCTGGAGAAGTAACTATGAATAAGTAATAAAAAGAAGAGGTGGACGGTCAATAAAGAAGGAATCTGCAAACTTACCGAGCGTAATACCGTCTTGATTGGAGCAAACCACACAAAACGTTACGCAGCTTCGCCATCTTTTTTCACTTTTCCACGGAAAACCGCTGGACCATAAAATGTGAATACGCAACGGTACCAACGAGAGGGCCTGGGGAAGAGGTTCCAATGGATGGCGTGCGTAGTGCCCTGGTCTTTGCGAGAATTTGCGAGCCTGCGAGCAGTGCGTTAATTTTTGCGAGCACGAGCAGAGATAAAATTTGCCTTGCGAGCAGCGAGCACTTCGTCAATTTTCCGTTAGCCGGAATCTCTCTTTTATTAAAAGGAATTTTTTTTTTTTTGCACCAAGTAATCTGGCTAACACCCAGCGCAAAACAGAACAATAGTAATAGTAATATTCCTCATGTTTTCATGTCTCTAGATTACTTTCTACCTTTGTAGGTGCCTTGACCATTCGCCAAGAATTCTTAAGTGCGTCAGCAAAACCTAAAGAAATATGTTTCCGGAAATATTCACAGCGCGTGCATGTTTCCCCAATGTTCCCAGTTTTACCATTAACGAGAATCCGAGCATGCAAGCTGTTGCAAAAATTTTGCGAGCACGAGCAAGCGAGCACTAGTCTTAAATCGAATGGGACCATTCGATAGCCCTCGTACTACGAATGGATTACTACAAGTAGCACAGTTCCCCTAAGCTCCTACGGAGCCGTGAACATTTTACAAAATAATACACAGTCGCGTAACACAGCATAAATATAAGAGTTTGTATGGGAATGTAAAGATGATTTATAACAGTTCGAAAAATAGAAAAAGAAATTCATTAAAGTGGGGGTTACCTAAAAACACACCATTTTTTCAAGCTTTATTCGTGGAAAGATTTAATTCCAAACCATGGCAAAGTATACATTTTTAGACCAAAGATCATGAAAAATGTATTTTTGGACCCTAGAACTGTACCGTAACCGGATACTGGCTGATTAAATCTGCCACCTGTTGGGAAATGCCTGGGCTTACTTGAGAAGAGATAATTCCTACAAGAACGGATCACAATGAATATTTTTTTACATTTTTTAAAAGAAGACAAATAACTTACTGTTTTAAGCAGACAATTTTTTAAAAGTTTAAAACACATGAAATGGTGACCAGTTAAATCTAATACAGGAAATCCAGCATACGTTTCAATGCATAACTTCAACAAAGTGCACTGGATGGAAAAGTTCTCTACTTAAAACACAAAACTTACTCAGAACAACAAATCCTGAAAATTTCAGATCAATTGGACAAATCCTTCTCAAGATATCTTTTCTAAAAGGCAAAAATAACTCGTTTTGAGAAAACGAGCTTCGAACTTACAGTAAATGATATCTCAAAATAATACTTTGATACCGTAAAGTCAAATTCGGATAAAACAGAATTTTAGGTATAACGGCCCTCAAAAACTAAAGTTATGCTTCCTAACACGTAATTACGTCTCACACTTTACAGTGAGAAAACCATGATCCCACACACACACATCACTTACTTGCACTGATAAACCACCCGTATTTTGATATCTAGATGTTATGCCCTATAATTATACTGCGATAGAGCCCTTACCCTCGTTATTTTTCTGTAAAAAAGAAAACGAACCACTTTTTGTTTGCTCGTTTGATAAATAATTGTCCATTTAATTATTGTAAAACTCAAGTCCACCCCCACACAAAACCGTTTAGTACATGAGCTACAGACGTTTGCTCTTTGAGACACAACGTAACACTGATGAAGGGGTTATGATGGTTATGCCCGAAACGTCTGATTGTCTTTACGGCGTACATGCGCAGTTACGATGTTTATCTTTTATGCACGAGTACAGTCCTGCCTAGGTCCTACCGCGTTCTGGCATCAACTCAACAGCGCGTGCATGTAAAAACAAAATGAGAAAAAGAAGGCACATAGGTTAACAGGTATATTTTTTATGAATTTGTTGAATTCTTCAACCATTGTGTGCTCCTTTTGCAAACATTTTTACGAAAAAAGGCACTCCATTTCATTTTATTAAAAACACGTCTTTTTAAAACTTTGCGCGAGCCGTTTGCGCAATCATTCAGTCGGTTTGGGATCAAGTTACTGTCGTTATTTTTGAATTTTTCCTCGACAGATCGAGTGTACATGACATGCAGTACAGTTCTGCTCTCAACTAGACCAAAGGGCATGCAAAAACAAAACGGTGGCTAGTGCAGACTACATTTTGAGGTATTTAACGGTAAGTTACGTTTTTTTCAAACTTTATGAAATCTGCCGCTTTTCAAGTCGCTTCTTAACCTAACCAAAAATGATCAGTTCGTTAGTCCGGTCCGGATTGCATACTTTCCTCTAAGAATAACAGCTAAGAATAAGTCTGGTATAATCCGTTTTTGCCGAAATCAAAGTTTAAGTCTCGATCGATGCTAAAGAACTGGCCCTAGAGCGTTTTCATGAACTTTACTATGATCAACCGTGAGCCAGATTTAAAACTTGCGATTTCACGCGTCAAAATCATAGCACCGAGGCTTCATGCTCCTCTCCAAGACGAGGCAAGACGTCATGAGGTGACCTCACCGTCGGTTACCATCAAGATGGAAGTAGTCATAGCAACTGCTCACAGTGAAAATTTTTCGCATTCGTGTTGAGGGCTTTCTGTAGCACAGTGCAAAGATAGCGAGTATATTTCGTGTTTATCAAAATCTTAAATGGAAAAATTAAGTAACATGTGGACAGGCAAATACATTTTAGGTGTTGAAGAGACTGGGAAAACTGGCGGAGTGAGCGTTGGAGATCTTTTCCCCGTTAACAAACATGAGCCACTCGACGCTTCTCATGGGGCGCGGATCATGGCCAAAGAGGTGGGTGTTATCTTTTTAATGTTTTTAAGTACGATGAATTTAGCGCCGCATTTACGAAGCAAAGCAGCTGTTAGTTATAACGATCGGTAAAATATGGGATGAAATGCTTTAAAAGCGAGCAATACACGAGAAATGAATTTGATACGGATGTATCTTCCTGAAAGTTTTATTTGTTGAAAACATGTCGCGTTACTTATTTTGGCAAAGATTTGTATATTTTCTGTGAACATTAACTGATCAACGACTTATGCGTCTCATATATAAAATTAAAAGTTCGTTCAAAGAAGTAATTTTAAAACTAAATATGAGCGCTTCTGTATTTTTTCTTTTGGTTCTTATCTTTTAATTAAACTGTATTGAAATTTTTAGAACTTTTGCCAAGCTGCGCCCAACTCGCCCAAATTTTAAAGGTTTGATAAATAAAACTGTCTACATCATTTTTCTTCTCCTAGTATAAGCAAGAAAATGAGCGGCTCAAAGAAGAGGTTGTCATCCTCGAAGTACAATGTAATGGTAAGTTTCAAAATGATGTATGATGATTTTAATTTTTCGGCGTTAAACATCCGCATGCAATTGGAATTCAAACGTTACACAATTTTTGCGGCAAATCTTTTTAGGGTATGACAACTAATCTGATGAGAGACTGCTAGAATAGTGAAAATCATATTTCATCCAACGATTCTTGATTTGTAAACATTTTTAACATTTCAAAGATAAAAGAAAGAGAATTGACTTTGCGGATAAACTATAGCATGTGGAGTTGAGATTCCATAACTGTTACAATCAGCGCTTTTCTTAACCTGTGAACAATCTTTCGCGATGTTTATTTTATTATAGCTAAAGACGAAGAAATCGCTCATTTTAAAGAAATTATTTCGGCGAAGGACAAGGAAATTGCTGGTCTTAAAGAAAAATTGTCAGAGTTACAGCAGAATAGACAAGAAAACGAGATTGATTTTGCAAAGCAATTGAAGACAACAGATGAGGAACTGAAGAAACTGAAAGAGCACATCGTCCTGGCGAAAGAAAACGTCCTCAAAAAGAAAGCAGAGATGGAAAAAATTCCCAAAGAAGAACTACTGTTTAATGGTAAGTGGCTGCCATATACGTAAAGAAATTGAGCTTTAGGACCGTTTTATGAGAAATAGGTAACACATCTCTCCGCAATACTAGCCTGCCTTTACATTCGCGCCAACTGAAACCAGCATCAGCTCGCAGAATATCCGTCTTAATCGAGGAGTTTGCCATATAATAAAACAAGATTTTACTCTATATTGCTGTTTATAGACGTGATCGAATTGAAGGGTCGGGGAAATTATATTCTCGTAAAATCAAGTTTTGCAACGCTAAAGACAAGGAAACAAAGAGCTCTGCAATCTACAGCTTATTAAATAATGCATACAAGAAAGGTACATATGATGCAGTTTGAAGTCCCTCAATGATTAATATGTATAATCCCCACAGTTGTACGTTCCAGCACTTATATTTGTTAATTACAACTTACCTTAACTATATCTTCAATCCTACCGAACTTATCCTAACGGCGAGACTTTGACTCATTATAAGCCATTAAACCCTTTTTTCCAGAGGGAACACTGCTTTTTCGGTTTCGTACATCTAGCCAGACACATTGCTCAGTTATGGACTAGATTACTTTAAATTTATTTCGTTGATGCAGGGGATTCCATTCACGTCCCTAGTGTTACCCGTTTTAAATTGTCGTTCCGAGTCGCCGACCACGTGACCCAAGGGAGGGCGATGAATGAATGAATGAAAGACTTTATTTAAGTGTCAATAGTATTAAGCTTAAAAAAACTAATTGGGAACACTATTTACATAATTTACACGTGCAATTCGGTGGCGTTTGAAGGGACCCTGCTGATACCAGCTTAGTGCTGAAATGGCTAAATACTCTGTTTAAATAAAATAACTTGAAGTTGAGTTTTTAACCCACTTCGAAAAACATTCATCGATCGAAAATGCACTCTAGTATTTTTACATATCATATTTTCTTCGACCTTTTTTCTCTGTTCAGCCAACGATTGCTTCGACCTTCAGCCATCATGGTTTGACACCTTGCTGACTAGCGATATTGGATGCCTCGAAATTAACAACTATCCAGTCACAGCAAACGATCTTGACGCTAAGAACACCGATGGTTCATTTGACGAGTTGTCGAAGCCAAAGCACCCAAACGCAGCTAAAGGTATGTAAGGTGATAGAAACTTAAAACATGGCTTATTAGTGCGTCCAATGACAGCAAAGCTTAAGAAAGATTTCTCGCGGTTTGGAAATCGGCCTGATGACAGAGTCAGCAGAGGCCAGGTCTCCAAAGCATATATAGTAAACGGATTCAACATTTTTCACAAATCCAAGACCTCCAAGCTTTAAGTCTCCAGAACTCAAGCAATCCCTCCCCATTCCTCCCCGCTCACCCACCCCATGCTGCTATTCTTAAGGTTTTCTTCTTCTTCTTCTTCTTGGTTGTATTTTC